ATATATACGTATATAGTTTTGTTTGTTGCACAGTGCAGTGAGAGACAATTTTTTTGCTTTTATCCTTTTTTTCAGATTTTTCCATGACATCCAACTATATTTACAGATCATTTGTAACATTTTAAATTGAATGCTGTTATACAAGAACTCACATACTTTGAAACAGAAGCGCTTTTACCAAAAGCAAGCTATTAAAACAATAGCAAAAAAGGTTGTTTTTATTTTTTTTGGCTAGTTATAAGATCTTAGAACAAGACCAGATCAGAGTTTTTTATGTTTTGTTTGATCTAGCAGGAAATGTTTTTAGAAGGTGACAGAACCATCCCTATTCTGTGACTGCTAGTTTTCTCGTTTTTTGAACTTGTATTTGATTTCTATTCCTGCTTTTAAACACAGACTAAAAGATCTTTTGTAAGGAGTCATGTAATGAATGCACTGCTTATTTGATAAGTTTTATGCACTGATAATGTTTACCCTTCCCCATCTTCCCATTTTAAGTGTTTTAAGTGTTTTTGCACTCTCAGGCTAACATTGTAAATAAGAAACCATTCTTAATGTTTTGCCTCTTGAAATAAAGGTTAAATAAAAAAATAAAGTGWAAATGTAGATTAGTTTTAAACAATACAATGTCATATGCTATTAGTACAGGTGACGTTGATGCAATTAATTGCAAGTGGTCTTTAAACATTTCTCCTCCCTGAGATAAATATAAATCAATGGTGTTTGTTTTACTGTGCAGGAGCAGCATGGATCCTGACTGCAGGACTGCGGGAAGGTGTTGGGAGGTGTGTTGGTGAGGCGGTGAGAGATCATGCTGCTGCAGCTTCTTCAGACTCCATCAACAGAGTGGTGGCACTGGGCGTCGCTTCATGGGGTCTGGTGCACAACAGAGAACAACTCGTCGACCCTAAGGTTGTACAGAAATTTTACAGATTTTTCCCGAACACTGAAATGTTTGTTGTTCACATTTCTTGTTGATCCATTGTGTAAATATTGCCTTTGCATTAGAAGATGTTTGTGTTTACTTCATATGAGTCATTTTTTTATTTATTTGAATGAGTCGATAATCATTTTTCTGTTAAGTTTGGGTGTTTTTCTGGCACTGAAAGTCAATATGGACTTTACGTTTTTTTTTTTAATTCACAGTAAGGTACATGTGCATTTTAGAAATTAAGGTTCAAATTGGACTGCCTTATAAATGTAGAAACCCTTTGGATATACAATTTAAATTCTTCTATTGCAGGGCAGTTTTCCTGCTAAATATTACGTGCAGAACCCAACTCGGGATTCTTCCTGCCTGGACAACAACTACMAGGCCTTCCTACTGGTGGATGATGGGAGTGTGGGCCGCCGAGGAGGGGAGACCGCCTTCAGAGCCAAACTGGAGGACTACATCTCCCATCAGCGCACAGGAATATGGGGTAAGAAATATTCCTTAATTCATGTRTCTATTAGGCTCAGTGCTCATTCACTCAACATTTAATACTTCCATGTCGGCAGTCTCATTGATCTTTTAGTCAAAACATTGTTCTTCAGCTTTAAATGTTTGTCAAAAAATACAATCCTTATAAAATTGTATCACCGTGTAACAAGAATATTACACAACATATTCAAATATTTTTTATTATTGTCTCATTGATTGAATTTAAAAGGAACRTTCTGCATTGTTTGTTCTTCAAACAGGTAGCGGCAGTGTTGACATTCCAGTCATTTGCATGTTGATATCAGGGGAGAAAAGCATGCTGGAGGTGGAGTCATTGTTTTTAAAATATGAAATAAAACAGGTTATGCATAAATGAAAATGAATGAATGAACGAAYGAATTGAATTTCTGGCAGAGAGTGGATAATTCTCTGAAGAAGTCCATGCCCTGGTTGGTGTTGGCTGGCTCAGGCGGTATTGCAGATTTTCTGAGTGATCTCTTGGAGAATCTGTCTTCAGCCCCAGACTTTCAGTCTTTCAGTGAGCGTGACAGTGAGGCTGCTCCCAGTGTGGATCTGATAGACAAAGTGACAGAACGAGTGAAGAAATACTTTCCTGCTGAACCAGAAGCAGACAAACTTGTTAAACAGGTAAGACGCATTAAATCATGTTCTTTGTACTTAATGAACAGAATGACGGAGGCGTTCTGCTTCCCTCTAGTTCAGCAACACGTGAATGTACTGTGCAGAATAACAGAATAGTTTATATTTTTGTCAAACATAAAGACACTAATATTAAAGAATCCATATTATGCTTAGTTACTATGAAGAAATGTACTTTGTACATACAAAAATGTTCTCATGCTTGACTTAGCGACATTATCACTAACTAACTGTAGACAACTTTGGTAATATAGCAGATTTTTATTCCATGTTTAATTCCACAAAACATGGGAAAGCATGCACACAGTAAATGTGTTACGTGGTGACAAATGGGGGAAAATTATAATCTTGAGTTTGAGGCAAAGTGGAACAAAAGTGTGACTATCAACCATGTTGTTCAGTGAGCATGTTTTGTTCACMTAACTGTACAAAATACATTTTATATGAGGATGTTACTGCTACTTGACAAGTAATGCTGCATTAAAGGGACCTTTTTAGAATTACAATTGTTACAGCATAATGTTTCAGTTATTATCTAGGTACTACAGTTACAGCATATTGGAAATTGTGTTTATGTTTGCCAGTGTCATCTTTGGAAGGCTTAGCATTTGGGAACTCGAGGATGTTCATCCTTCGTCATCTTTTTTTATCTTCATAACTTCTTCATACATTTTTTATTTCTGTTACAATGACCCAAACTTCTGTGCTCAAGAGTTTAAAACCTTCAGTGCTTTTCTGTCTGCTGACTTCTGTATTCAGGCTCTAAGCATCTACCAAAACAAAGACTTGATTACAATCTATCATGGAGAGCAGGAGAGCCCAACTGACTTTGATATAGTACTGCTCAAAGCATTGGTAGGAGGTGAGAAAAACTCATTTATACACTGGATTTAGCACTTGTTTCTATGAAACAAGACAATATTTTAATTACTTTTAATTTCTTAATTTCAATTTTTGTGCGCGCGTGTTTTTGATGTTTTCTTTCTTTTTTCCCCCCAGCAAGTAAGCATCGTGCCTCAATTGAAGCCTGCCCTCACAATGAAGAGCTCAAGCTAGCTGTTGCTTGGAACAGGGTGGACATTGCTAAGAGCGAACTCTTCAATGGAGACATTCAGTGGAGGGTGAGGAGATACAGTTGGCAATCTGAAGTTGATGCATTTTATAATAACAATTTTGTTACAATTTACAGAAATAAAGTAACCTATCCCTGCTAGAAAAAAAAACAATTTTGGAGTTGAGTATGATTTCTTGCCTAAAAGCAATTTTTCATCTATTCAAATAGGATGAGGACTTGGAAGAATCCATGACGGATGTCCTGATCAATGACAAGCCCCAGTTTGTTCGTCTTTTCACCGAGAATGGCTTGAACATCCTGGACTACCTGACTTATGGCAGACTGGAGCAGCTCTATGGCTCTGTGGCTGAGGGCACACAGTTATACCATCTGCTTCAGCGTCGACATGTCATGCGTGTCGGAACTACACCTGTGCTTACATCATCAGCTCCACCTGATCATTTACCAGAATCACAATCCAAATTAAAATCAGGGAAACCTCAGAGTAAACTAGGGTCTGAGATAACCCTTTTTGAGGTGAGTTTCTTTTTGGAAGGGTTTTAATTTTTACTACTGTTATTCATTTGAAATATTTTATAAATATATTTTACAAAGCTTCTTGAAATGTTTTATCAGATTTCAGGTGTTCTGGAAATATTATTGGGTGATGTTTGCACACCGTTCTTCTATGACATTTTGGGCTTACCGGATAACTCAACCCAAAGAGTGACTTTTAGGGTATGCTTTATTTTGGGCAATAATCAGACATGCAAAACAAGTTTAAAGTTGATTTTTTTAGATTTTATCCCTTCAAACAATTGTAATAGGTTTATTTTTTTTCTATATTTTATTTTTCTAGCGTGTAAGTAAGCTGCTGCATGGAGAGTGCCCATATCGAGCGAGGCGATGCCTCTACCCCTGGGCTGCACTCTTCATCTGGGCTGTTCTACAGAACCGCAGTGAGATGGCCACTTTCTTCTGGGAGATGGTAAAAACTCAAACAGCAAACAAGAATATGAGACCTTTTATATAAATTTTTATTGTCATTAAGGGATTAAAATGATGAGCATTTAGACAGTTTTTAAAAACATGTTAATCCTGAAACCAAAAACTTGATCATTAATATAAATTGCGCTTTCGAATGGGGACAACTGGTTTTTAGGTCTACAGTTGATAAAGAGAGATCACTGAATAATATAAAATGAAAATGCAAATACTTAAGTAAAAAAAAAAATGTAGCATTTTTAGGAAGTGAGTTAATGTAATCAGATAGAAACTCTACAGAAGCAGAAGCAATTAATATTTTGTGAACTGACTGGTTTAGATAAAAATGTTCATTCTAATTAGCAGACTTGCTGTTAAATACAAACATGCAACGTATCAATGTGGTTTGTCTGTAAGCCTGCATCTCTCATGGTTTTTCTCAGTCAGGAGAGTCAGTGCTGAGTGCTCTTATTGGTTGTAAGATCCTGAGAGAGCTGTCCAGACTGGAGGCTGAAGCTGAAACTAAACTCTCCATGAAGGAACTGGCCCAGAAGTTTGAAAATCTGGCACATGGTGAGACCATTAATCCAACTACTATTGAAGAATAATCCAACTGGTTTCTGGTTTTAATGAAAGTTCTTTGAAATGTAGACATATTTAAATCTAGAGTTATTGTGGGAAGGTTTGCTTTACCTCAGATATCTTCAGCTCTTGCTATCGCAGCGATGAAAGTCGTTCCTTCAAGCTTTTGATCAGGAAATCTCCTGTTTGGGGCGGCACCACCTGCCTACAGATGGGCATGAGTGCTGATGCCCGACGTTTCTTCAGCCATGATGGAGTACAGGTTTGTCATAGTTTCACATCTGTAACTGTGTTTGATAACAGTGGAAGAAAAAATTTGTGTGTCTCAGTGTTCGAGGTTCAGTTCAACAAATGTGATATAATTTGTTTAACTGAAGCTCAGATAAGAAGGTTGATGGTTGAAAAGGAAAAGATCTCAAGTCAGTTCTGTTGGGGCCAAAGTTACTCATTGAGCCTCCTGACCTTTAACTGGAGGAAGGTTAATGGTTCAAATAGTCTTTTGTTGTATAATACCAAAACATACGGCACTCATTGCAGTCCTCTCTGGCATAGCTGGAAGAGTGTTGATGTGGCTTCATTAGTAGCCACTAATGAACATTAATAAAATCTGACTCTGGGATTGTTTTTTGTTAAAACAACCTAYAGTAGGGTTTGCTTTTATACTTTATTTCTTTACATAGCATATAACACCACAATCAGGTTTCCTTCAGCAAAARTGATTTCTCTTTTAGTCTCTGTTGTCCCAAATCTGGTGGGGTGACATGGAGAGGACCACAGAGGTGTGGAAACTTCTGCTCACCTTCTTCTGCCCTGTCCTTTGCTACACCAACTTCATCTCCTTCAGGTAAAATCTACAGGATAATGTATGATATTAACTTTTCAAAATCACAATATTTTCACAAATTTCTATTTAAAATTTTGCAACATAGGGAGCAATACGATCAGCAACAAGAGGAGGAGGAGAAGCCTAATGAGGACAGACCAACTGACACTCATTATGGGACGACTGTCTTCTCTTTCTCTGACATCAATCACATGTAATGCTTTATTATTATATAGTCCACTTCTTTTCCCTGTATTTTTTTGTTTTTTTGTAGTGTGGTTTAGGACTATTCTGGAAGAAAAGCAGACTGCTACCAACTCGCTGGTACCAAAAGAAAACAGGCCGGAATCAAGAAAAACAGCTCACCACAATCAAAGAACAATCAGCTTCGAGCAGCCAGTAACTGGAAAATGCTTGCAGATGTTGGCCAGTGGCTAGTATTTCCTACAGAGATTGCAGTTACAACTCTCAGACCTGACATAGTTCTCTGGTCTCCATCCCTGAAGAAAGTCTTTCTTATTGAACTCACTGTACCCTGGCTCAGTGGATGAAGCCTATGAATGTAAACATCTGCGTTACTTTGATGTTGCTGCTGAGGCTCAACAGCAGGGGTGGAATACTGAAGTCCGGCCTGTGGAAGAGGGGTGCAGAAGATTTGTAGCAGTGACTACCACCAAGGACTTGGGAGTTGGAGGCCGAAGTCAGCGTCAAAAAAAAGTTGATTTATGGAGCACTGCAAGGATTGATCCTCCTTTGCAGGGCCTTCCTCAGAAGAGGGTGCCTAGTAGTAAATGGCCGAAACACCCAATGACCCTGAGGTATACCATTGAAGATGTTCCTATAAATCAACTTTTCTGAAGATGTTATTCTTCGTCAACTCATGAATATTTGTTCACAGTTACTTGCACACAAAGGATGTCTGTAAATCTCATCCTGTGTATGGAAAATAGTCTGCTTTTTTCCTGTATTTTTTGTTTTTTATAGTGTGATTGAGGTTATGGGATGCACAGATGTTTTTACAAAATTCTTTGCATTTTTAAATGTACTAATTAATCTCATTGCACCAGTGAAGCTGATTCAGATGAAGTAACCACTCCTCAGAATACTTCCATCAAAGGTGAGTCCAATTTGAGACGTCAACATTTAAAGAGCATTGATGTCAGTAAATTGTTGAAGCATCTGTTCTCACTTTTAACACAGGTTCACTTGAATTCTACAGACCACCACGTCGTCCATTCATAGTATCACGCTGGCGACAGTTTTGGTATGCGCCCGTCACTGCGTTTTTGGGAAACATCCTGATGTACTTCCTCTTTCTTGGGCTTTTTGCATACGTGCTGTTGATGGACTTCAAGCCCCCACCGCCTTCTGGTCCGGCCAGCTCTGAATATGTGCTGTACTTCTGGGTGTTCACCATTGTGTGTGAGGAGATTAGACAGGTAAGTTTAGCATCTTAATTTATGGATTTGTTTCTTTTTTGTATAGAAAAATAGTATATCATTAGGGGTGCACCAATAAATTGACTGGCTGATCCTCATGGATTTCCTTTATTGTGGGTGATCGGCAATCGGCTGATACTTACATGAGAAGCTGATCTTGTCCACCTATCTTATCTATGTCCCCAAAGTACCAGCAATCTACTGGTACTTGTGTTTTCATGTCATCAGTTTTATGTTGTCTGTAAGTCACTCTCCCTCAGTTAGTACATTTCCTCAGTTCAGGCTTCCCRGTGAAATTAATTCATCAGGTTCTGTAAGTTTTGCTGCCATAACAGCATATTGTTTTAATTTGTAATATATATACAGTGGGGAAAATAAGTATTTAGTCAGTCACCAATTGTGCAAGTTCTCCCACTTAAAAAGATGAGAGAGGCCTGTAATTGACATCATAGGTAGACCTCAACTACGAGAGACAAAATGTGAAAAAAAATTTAAGAAAATCATTTTGTCTGACTTTTAAAGAATTTTTTTGCAAATAATGGTGGAAAATAAGTATTTGGTCACCTACAAACAAGCAAGATTTCTGGCTGTCACAGACCTGTAACTTCTTTTTTAAGAGGCTCCTCTTTCCCCCACTCATTACCTGTATTAATGGCACCTGTTTGAAGTCGTTAACAGTATAAAAGACACCGGCCCACAACCTCAAACAGTCACACTCCAAACTCCACTATGGTGAAGACGAAAGAGCTGTCRGAGGACACCAGAAACCGAATTGTAGACCTGCACCAGGCTGGGAAGACTGAATCTGCAATAGGCAAGCAGCTTGGTGTGAAGACATCTACTGTGGGAGCGATAATCAGAAAATGGAAGACATACAAGACCACTACTAATCTCCCTCGATCTGGGGCTCCACGAAAGATCTCAGCCCGTGGGGTCAAAATGATCACAAGAACGGTGAGGAAAAATCCCAGAACCACAAGGGGGGATCTAGTGAATGACCTGCAGAAAGCTGGGACCAATGTTACAAAGGCTACCATCAGCAACACACTACGACGCCAGGGACTCAGATCTTGCAGTGCCAGACGTGTCCCCCTGCTTAAGCCAGTCCATATCCAGGCACGTCTGAAGTTTGCTAGTGAGCATTTGGATGTTCCAGAAGAGTATTGGGAGAATGTCATATGGTCAGATGAAACCAAAGTAGAACTATTTGGTAAAAACACAACTCGTCGTGTTTGGAGGAAAGTGAATGCGGAGTTGCATCCAAAGAACACCATACCAACTGTGAAGCATGGGGGTGGCAACATCATGCTTTGGGGCTGTTTCTCTGCAAAGGGACCAGGACGACTGGTCCGTGTACATGAAAGAATGAATGGGGCCATGTATTGTGAGATTTTGGGTGCAAACCTCCTTCCATCAGCAAGGGCAATGAAGATGAAACGTGGCTGGGTCTTTCAGCATGACTATGATCCCAAGCACACTGCCAGGGCAACAAAGGAGTGGCTTCGTAAGAAACATTTCAAAGTCCTGGAGTGGCCTAGCCAGTCTCCCGATCTCAACCCCATCGAAAACTTTTGGAGGGAGTTGAAAGTCCGTGTTGCCCGCCGACAGCCCCAAAACATCACTGCTCTAGAGGAGATCTGCATGGAGGAATGGGCCAACATACCAGCAACAGTGTGTGCCAACCTTGTGAAGACTTACAGAAAACGTTTGACCTCTGTCATTGCCAACAAAGGATATACAACAAAGTATTGAGATGAACTTTTGTTATTGACCAAATACTTATTTTCCACCATTATTTGCAAAAAAATTCTTTAAAAGTCAGACAAAATGATTTTCTCAAATTTTTTTTCACATTTTGTCTCTCATAGTTGAGGTCTACCTATGWTGTCARTTACAGGCCTCTCTCTTCTTTTTAAGTGGGAGAACTTGCACAATTGGTGACTGACTAAATACTTATTTTCCCCACTGTATTTTTATTATTTGAGCTCCTTTTGTTCAGTCCACATCCTCTAGACCAAACCTCCTGCAGACTGTGGAACATGCTGCTTTCGGTCTTAAAGCCCCAATGAGAAGGACATTGCACTTTCAAAAAGTGTTTTAGTCATTTAGCTATATTTTGAAATAATTTATGTCTAACATTAATTTGTGTTTGCTTTTCAAAAACATTTTTAAGTCAAAATCTTGGCATCAAAGGCTCAGAGTCTACATTCAAGATATGTGGAACAAGTGGTACATCACTGCCTTGATACTGTTCATCATAGGATCAATCTGCAGGTATGAATATTAAATATACCCATGGGTTTTCTGCAGTGAATAACACATTTTCATGTTTGTCATATCTGAAAACATTTTAAAACCTCTAGGATCTAGTGTTCTCAGTAATTGTTTCAAATAACTTGATTTATTTCTGAACAGTCATTATTATGTTTGCAATAATTTCAAATGTGTTGTAGGATGTTTAGCTGGTCATATGACTTTGGACGGGATGTCCTGTGTGTGGACTACATGATCTTCACTCTTCGTCTGATTCATATTTTTACAATTCACAAACAGCTGGGTCCAAAAGTTATCATCATTGGCAAGATGGTGAGAAATGCTGTCCATTCCTGACTGATTTCTAATTGTACGTAATGTCTACACTGTACAGATAACCTGACAAAATTTCTTGTCCAGATGAAGGATGTCTTCTTCTTCCTCTTCTTCCTGGGAGTGTGGATCATGGCGTATGGAGTAGCCAGTCAGGGTTTACTTTACTCCTATGATTCTAACTTCAGCCGCATCCTGCGCAGAGTTATCTACAGACCGTATTTACACATCTTTGGGGAGAATTTTGTGGAGGAGGTTGACGGTAAGAGGGTTATTCTTGCAGCTTGTATTTTACACTTTTTTGACATTCATTTTTATAAAGAAAACTTCAACATATCGGTTAGTTTAATATGTGGAAAGCAAGTTACTTGGATTTAGGGTTGCAAAATTATGAGAATTTTTAAAGGTTGAAGCTTTTCCTGAAAATTAATGAGAATTTGTGCAAATAAACCTGGACTTTAAAATATTTAAGGTTGTGTGTTTGAAGATGCTTTTGTGACACAGTAATGTCTGTTAGGTAATTAAATTTATTTCATTCCTTAAGTGTTTTTGTCAAACAAATTATTAGTCTATGATAAAACAAAATGTTTATGATAACACAGTTTGTAGAAAGCACTCCAGATTTCCTGACAATTCCCATAACTTCCAATGGAAAGTTTTTGGGACATTTTTCGAAATTTAATGGAAATTTTCAAAACCCTTTGCAACCCTTCTTATATTTAATAATTTTTTGTTTTTTTTTACATTCTAGTTGGAAAGGAGTGGGGTCTGGACTGCACCAACAATGTGACATTGATTGAGGAGGGTGCAGAGCCATGCAGGTCTCTGAACAATAACTGGCTGGTGATCGTTCTGTTGGCCCTTTATCTCCTTGTTACAAATATCCTACTCATCAACCTGCTCATTGCCATGTTTAGGTATGCGGGTCAGCATCGCACTGTATGCCTATTGGCTTGCAGGACTTTAAGAGGACTCAGTTTGTGTGAATTACTTTTTACATTAAAATATTTTTCTGTCGACGCAGCTACACCTTCACTGAAGTGCAGGATAACAGTGACATCTACTGGAAGTTCCAGCGCTATAACCTGATTGTCCAGTACCACTCCAGGCCCTCATTGGCTCCTCCTTTCATCATCCTCTCTCACATCAACTTATTTATCAGGAGGATCATCCGTAAGGTTCCCTCTGTCAAGGTCCGCCACTTTGGTTAGTATTAAACTGGAGGCTTATTTTAAATGTATTTAGTAAAGTTAGGTTTGATTAAGAGTAGTGACATTGGTTGTTTACTTGCTGCCTTTTCACAACAATTACAAATAACTAGCAGAAATGCTCATCTTGCTGCTTATATCTACTTGTCATTTTTGTCCCCAGTTCAAGTAATGTGTTTTCTGTTAGCAAGCACTGAAGGGTTGGGCATTAATATTGACAAAAGTATTTTCAATTAGTTTTGCAGTTAAGCAGAAAAGCAGCAAACAGATTAATGACGTGGGAAAGTATCCAGAAAGAAGACTTCCTGACTGCTCAAAACAAAATCCAGAAGAGTAGTGACTCGGAGAAACTGAAGCGGATGTCTGACAAGTGAGCGCTCATTGCTGAATCACAGCAGCAGGACATTTTTAATGCATTCTTTTTGTCTCCATCATGACCAAACTGTGTATCTATTTTTTCCCCCCAGATTGGATAGTGTTCTTAGACAGTTGGCTAAAATCAGAGATTTTGACCACAGACTTAAAGCTCTGGAGAATCAGGTAAACATTAAGTATGTGCTGATGATGACTATTCATTTGAAATGTTTTCTTATGACTCTAAGTTTGAAGTGTTCTCCAGCAGATTAATTCATAAATGTCCGGCCAGTCACCAAGTTTGGTAGAAAGAAAGTCTAGGTGATTAAAGGTGACCAATAAAATATGGCCAAGACGGCCGTTTTGCAAGCTGTGCACTCGAAAATAGGCTGCAGTTTTCAATGACTGGCTGTTCATAATGCAGCCGCATGGTTGCTTTTTAGAAAACACTTCAAATTCAGTGAGACTGCAACAGAAAATTGTCAAAAATTTCCCACAATTTTGAGTTGCCAACTCATTTTTGAAAGTCTTAATTTAGTGAGATACTGACTTAATCAGAAAACTCAATTTACCAGGGGAAAAAAACAAGACGATATGAAACAGTCACCAGCAGAGGGAGAGCATTTTACAGCGTAAAAGCTTTTTTTTTTTAGAATAAGCCTGTAACATCCTGGAGCTTGTTTATATTGTTAGTAATGCTGACATGTAGATTCTGTAGCTGTTGATTGAAGCCATGTTAGCTGTTGCTTTTTTACACTTTTTACAGCACAAAGCTAAGCTGTATGTGAGTCTTATTTTGACTAACTATAACAAAATACAGCTGACTGAAGAGAAATCATGAACATAGTAATAAAGATTCAGTTCAGTTTATTTAAACTGCCTATACATTGTTATAGATGTGATCAATAAATTAATTTATTGGAAATAACAAAGTGAAACTATGAATGTATGAATTGGCAGCTGAGTTTCATGATGACATTACTTGTGGAAATAAGAAGTGCCTAACATGCAGCGTTTTCAGGTCATTTAGGAAAGATGTGGGGAAAAAATTATTATTTTTTTGCTTTTCTTCTCAGATGGAGCCACTTTCTAGCAACACACCTAAACCTCCCTGAAAACCATCTACATCATGAAGCAATCTCCAACATTTTAAAGTTAAAAGGGTCACTCATTACAGTTATTGACCTTGTTTAATGAGTTGGGCTTTGCAAAGTTTTATCTTGAGGGATTTTGTGATCTACAGTCATTCTTTCTGTTTTACCCCGTTTTCCAGTACATCTACGATACTTTTGAGTTTATTCAAAGTTACATCTGAAAAATAATTTTAAAACATCTGTGTTTGTTTTTATATGCAGAGAAGGTCACAGTAGCTCAGTGGTCAGGTATGCTGTTAAATAAATGTTAAAATAAAATGTAATAAATGTGGGGATTTATAATGAAGCATGTCCATTTATTCTCTGTGCCGAACACATCAAACTGATTAGTCATAAACAGTTTATGTGAATTGTTCTGGAGTTTCAATAAGCCTTTTGTCTTTTACTTTATATAGAGATGAAAGATATACAAAATACTGTAGCATGAAGAAGTGGTCTCCTCCAAAACCTAAACTCTGACCTAGTTTAGAAAGTAGTGTTTGCATAAAACAATGTGACATTTAGAGAATATTTTGAGATGGTAGAAGTCTGCTTTGAAAGGGGCCCAAATCAAACCATCCGTTGTCTCCGCTCTTCCAAGACAACTTCTACCATTTATTCCAAGCTGATAGCTCTACATGTGATTGAAGTGAATAGTCTGACATCTCAGGACATGTTAGCTTGAATAATATGAAGATGAAGTGATTCAACGCAATGATGGCTTCTTCAGACTGATTTATTTCATTTTTTTAATTTATTTTTGTACAGTGCCCTGAGATGACAGATGTTGTGGCTTCTGGACCAAAAAAATAACAGTTCAGAAAGTTATGACCCCCTAAATATTACTGGTTTATATATGCAAACTTAACTAGCATGGGCATACTAACAATGTAACCAAACTTAGTTATTATACTACTTTCATTTGTCTGTGATTATTGGTAAAAGAATTGACAATAATTATGGTGAAAATATTCCAGTAGCAATTTATTTTTTTTTATTTAAACTGATGTCTGGAAATCATTTGGGCGGCCTCCCTTGATGTTTCATGACCTATATAGGGGTCCTGGCTGCATATTGTAAAACAAGTTGGTAAAGTTGATGGA